ATTGGCCTTCTTGGCAACAAGGGCACACTGCTGACTCATATCCAGCTTCTCGTCCACTGTCACCCCTAGGTCCTTTTCCGCAGAGCTACTGCCTTGCCATTCGGTCCCTAGTCTGTAGCTGTGCATTGGGTTCTTCTGTCCTAAGTGCAGGACCCTGCACTTATCCTTATTGAACCTCATCAGATTTCTTTTGGCCCAATCCTCCAGTTTGTCTAGGTCCCTCTGTATCCTATCCCTGCCCTCCAGCATATCTACCACTCCTCCCAGTTTAGTATCATCCGCAAATTTGCTGAGAGTGCAATCCACACCATCCTCCAGATCATTTATGAAGATATTGAACAAAACCGGCCCCAGGACCGACCCCTGGGGCACTCCACTTGACACCGTGTAGCTTCCTCTAGGGAGGTTTTCGGTTCATCTTGGGTCCAATGGATCTGTTGTACCCAGTGTAAGGCTGCTTGGTTGGGAGAGGTCATGGGTAATTCTGGATAAAATAGACAAAAAGGGACTCTGTCTTGTAAAGGCATGTTCTGTGTTATTGTATGTAAACTCCACATGGGGTAGTAATGAGGACTAGTCATTCTGGTGATCGTTTATGTAGCCCGGTAGGTACTGTTCCAAAATTTGGTTTGTTCTTTCTGCTTGACCATTTGACTGGGGGTGATAGGTGGAGGAGAGATGGGAGCAAATGCCCAACTTTTGGAGAACTCCATGCTAGAAGTGAGAGAGAAATTATGAATCACAGTAAGAGATGTAGATGCACTCCAGAAGGCCATGGAGGTGGACAACTTGATCTGTACAGAGCTGGATGGTTTTCTGGGTGGAGGGCAGATGAGTGCAGGGGTTGAAGTGTGCCATCTTGGTGAGGAGAACCACTACGCAGGGGTCAGCAACGTGTCCATACATGGACACAAGTGTCCGTGGTAAAAATTTTGAGGTCTGTGATAATTTTTTAAAAAATCGAATGACTGAATGACATAACGCCCCCGCCCCCCCACCATGTCGATCACTAAGTACGGTAATTTTGTCAAGTGTCTGTTGCACAACATGGTGGTGCCGATCCCTGCCTCCACAGTCAGGATGGTTGTGAACCCATTGGACTCAGGTAACTCTACTCTGAAATCTAAGGTGATGACTGCCCAGGAGTTAGTTGGAGCCTTGAGAGGTTGCAGGAGGCTGAGGGGTTTGTCATGCAATGCCTTGGAGTGGTCACACACATTACAAGAGGCAGTGTAGGCCTCCACTGTGACGTGCGAGGCCACTAGAAAGATGAGAAATTAGGCATTGGGTCTTGACTCTACCAAAATGTCCTGTGAAGGGTGAGTCGTACTTCCTGGGCCATAATTCCTGGAGATCCAGGAGGATCTGAGCTGGGATAACCTATGTGCCCTTTCACGTAGGTTATCCCAGCTCAGATGTCGTGGGGCTCCCTGCTTATGGCTTCCTGCTCATCAGAAGGGATCCTCTGGTCATATCAGGGCAAGCAGATTTTGGTGGGAGGTTCCACCCAGGAAGTTATGAGGTTTAAGAAAGTTGGAGATTTTGGAGTTCAAGCCCATCATGTCAGTGTAGTGTTCTCCCTTCTGGGACAGAGTGTCAGATTTGCTATTTTTCGTTCCTGGACAATAAGAGATTACAAAGTTGTAACATGAGAAAACAAAGCCCACTGGAGTTGCTGCTGGATGAGAGCTTTCACCTTATGCAACTATTCTAAATTCTTATGGACAGGGTACAGGGCCCTTTTAAGATAGTGACCCCGTTCCTCAAAGGCAGTTTCGGTCACCAGGAATTCTTTATCCAAAATACCATTGTTTTGTTCTACGGGGGTGAGTTTCCAGGAGTAAAAGGCACATGGGTATAATAGTTGCTGAGAGCTGTGTTTCTGGGAAAATACTGCCCTGATCACCACATTAGAAGCGTCAGCTTCAATGATAAAGGCTTGTTTCGTCTCTAGGTGATCTAGTGTGGGAGTTGAGGTAAATGCAACTTTCAATTGCTGAAAGGCCTGTCGGGCCCCAGGAGACCAAAGTAACTTACTAGTTTTGTGAAGTAGGGCAATAGGGGGGTGCAGTGTGCTTTGAAAACCTCAGGATGAATCGCCGATAGAAATTTGCGAATCTCAGGAAGCTCTGTAGTTCTTGGATGTTCTGTGGAACTGCCCACTCAAGATCTGCCATCGTCTTACAAGGGTCCATTTCAATACCCTCGGCGGATAGGATGAACCGTAAGAATTTGAATGGAGGCCTGACCAAAAACACACTTCTTCGACTTAGCGTAGATACAATGTTGGCGAAGCCATCCAAGGATGCAACGGATAAGCATAGTGTGTTGTTCAGCACTGTCTGAAAAAATAAGTATGTTGTCCAGGTATATCATATATTGGTTCAGAATATTTTGGAACACATTGTTAATGGAATGTTGAAATGTGGCACGGGCACTGGTTAAACTGATAGGCTTCATGATGTATTCAAAATGTCCACAGTGGGTTCAAAAGGCAGCCTTCCTCTTATCCCTTACAAGGTTATATGCACCTCAGAGGTCCAACTTTGTGTATATATAGGCATGCCCCATGCAGTCCAGTAATTCAGGAGTTAGAGGTAAGGGGTATCAGTTCCTAATGGTGACCTCATATAGTGTTTGGTAGTCCATACAAAGTTAGAGGCTACCATCCTTCTTCTTAACTAAGAGGACAGGTACCCCAGTAGGTGAGGTGGACTTGTAATAAAGCCCTTGGGCAGGTTCTCCTGCAGGAAGGTGCGAAGGTCGACCAGTTCAGGTTCAGACATGGCATAAATATGACCAAATGGTATTTTTGTTCCCAGTTTCAGTCATAATCCTTGTGGGGGGGTAGGATTTCTCCATTCTTTTTTCAAATACATTGGCAAAATCACTGTGCTGGGGTAGAAGTTGAGGCGCAGGATCAACGAGTGAGTCTGTTGGACCAACAACCGGCTTGTGATTGTTGGGGTTCTACTATGCACTCTCTACGTCCTGGGATCAAGCAGTGCAGCCAGCAATATTCTGAAAAGAAACTGACCCTTTAGTTCATGCCAGTGAATGAGAAGGTTATGGAGGAAATACCCAGGATCAGGGGAAAATGAAAGGAGCAAATGGCACTAACCAGCAGCATCTCTCGGTGCCCTTGGATGGTGACATGCAGAGCCACAGTCTCTGTGACCACTGGCCAGCGGGATAGAGGGACCAGTCAGTTGTCTCTACTAGGTCTGGAATAGGCTTGGGCCTTAGGGGAATCTGCATGGTCCAGACTGCATCCAGGTCAATAAAGTTATCACCTGAGTCAATCTGAGCCTGTGGTGGAGGGACTGGAAGGCAGCACCCTGGGACATGTAACTCAAATGCAGTGAATATTGATGTAATACAACTTTGAAACTTTGCTATGAATAAGAAAAATGCTGCTTTTAACCATCTTAATTTAAATGAAACTAATACAGAAACAGTTAACTTACATTGTCAAATCTTTTTTTAAACGTCCCCTTAATTTTTCTAGTAGTTTACATTTAACACAGTACTATAGTGTACAGTATTTGCTTTTGCGGGGGGAGGGGTCTCTGCTGCCTGATCGCATACTTCTACTTCCAAATGAGGTGTATGGTTGCCCAGTCAGTTCGTAACTGTGGTGTTCATAATCCTGAGGTCCTACTGTACTGCATTTACTGCTAGGTGCCTGAGTACCAGGATCATATAGACAAAGTGGAGAGAATTCAGAGAAGAATAAAACAAAATTAAAAAACTGGAGGGATTGATTTAGCAGGAAAGATTGAAAAGGATTTAGCTGTTTACAAGTATTAAAAGAGGATGTAAACACCACAGAAGAAAAGGAATTACACGAGGTGGTACAAAGGGGTATAAGTACTATACGAATTAAGGAACGCAATTAAAAAAGAGAATGTTTGAGTATAAACCAAAAAAAATCTTAATAGTGAGGTCTGCTGGATTTTTGGAAGAATGTTTCAAGAGAATTATGAACACCTCATAGCTTGCATAATTTAAAGTTAGCCTAGACAAAATACTGTAAAATATACTGGAAGGAAAAATCCTACATTGGCAGATGATGGATTAAATTGCCTATCCGGCCTTTTCCATCTCTTAGCTTCCATTATTCTATTTGTATTTTTTTGTGAGTATAACATATGCCAGAAGATATACATACCACTCCTTACTTAGTAGAATTTATAGCTCAAATCTGAGAAAACTAGTTTGGATTTGTAATAATTTGTTAACTGTAAATAAAGCAGCTTTGTTTTGAAATGAAAGGGGAGCCCACTGTGAACATATCCCTTTCCAAATCTAAATTACAGAGCTCCTGTAATTAGGTCTTAAACAAAACACAACTCCAAAATCTCCAAAAAATACAGATCACTAATAAAGATGCATATTAAAATTAAATAAACAAATAGCACATTCAAGAACATGTTTTTTTTTTTGTTTTTTTTTTGAAGAACAGATGTTTAAAACAATAAACACAGGAACAATGCAACAAAATTACAAAGTTGGAACCAGTTTAAAAATGAATACAATTTTCATTGTTTTCTAAATCTACTCATTAGTTCATAGCACAATATAAAAAACTTGTATTTAATATCTCTTACGTGCGCAAAATGGGATTGGACAGGTTTCAGCTAAGTCTTGTTGCTGCTGCTTTGCTGACATCAAAGTTCAGCAATGAGCAGAGAAGAGTTAGAGGTATGCTGGTCAATGTCCAAATTTTGAGCATATCCTATCCTATGCAAGACTCCTATTGATGTTTGTGGTAGCTCTGTTCATGGAACAAAACTAGAATATTATATTTTATATTATAAATGCTAAGGGTTTTCAGAATTGTGTTTATCTAGAAAACATCCAGAAATGTATCTGCTTACCTTTTTAAATTGGAGTTGTTCTGTTTTTGGAAGATACATGTAAGATTATCCCTATGCATTGGGAGGGAATGTAAAGGCATTTACAAATCTCTTTCTTTGTTGGGTTTCTTTGAATCACAGTTCAAATTGCTGTAATTTTTGGTGCCAACATTCTGGAGCATATCTTCAATCTGTGCCGGGGTAACTTTGACTTCTTGGAACGGCTTCCTGACTCATTGCTCCTGTACATCATTTCCTTTCTGGAGCTTGAAGATATTGCCAGGCTTTCTCAAGTTTCACACAGATTTGAAACGGTAAAAAACATTTACAATTTATTTCAAGTATTAGTTTTGCTTTGGCACATTCTCCTCATTTAGTTCACTTTTAACACACACATCCTTTACACATGTCTACCTTTAAGATTATTCAGGTAATAAACACTATTCCTAGTATTAAGTATTTGAAGGATTGGACCCATGCTTTATAGCATACAGAGTATTTAAGATCTTGCTGTCATTGCACGGCTTTAGCAGTGCAAGATCAGGCTCCATGGAGGATACTACACTCTTGTGTATTACAAAAGCATTCTTAATGGATAGTCTCAACTTTAAAGAAATCATAGAAATATTTTAAAGAAAATTACCCATGCAACCCTGCTGATGTCAGTGGGCTTATGATGATACAGCTGAGGCTATAATTTGTCATAATGTAATATCAATTACAATTAGCAGTACAAAAATATCAGTATTGTTGTTTTCAGAATCAACCGTATTCAAAAGTTAAGTTAGTTAGGCGAATTCACCTGTGGTGTGGAGTGCTTTATTATATGGAACTATGAGGGGCTTTACCAGGTATTCGCTGCCCCTGCCAGAGGCCCCACCAACTTGGCACATCCTACCATAAGAAGGTACCCTGCTGGAAGGGAAGAGCAGTGACTTCAGACCTCCAGAGGTTGCATAGAGAGGTGTCTCTTGATCAGCTGCAAACAGAACCAGTGAGAGTTGGTCCTCCGGTACCTAGAAGGGCTGGGAGCAGGCAGGAGCCAATCAAAGCCCAGTAGGCCAGATGAAAAGGGCTGGCAGCTTTTACTAGGAACCAATTCTGAATGAGGCCAGGACAGGGTCAGCTGGCTTGCACTGACTAGTTTTATTGGGCCAGTTTGCAGCCAGATAATCTTCAGTGTCCTAACCCAAGAAACCTGGCTTAGCCAGGGGCCTAGCCTTGACAACATTGGCCTTGGGTCTCTATGAAGGACTAGTGTTTGTTATGGACTTTAACATCCATGTGGTTATTTTGATTTCACGTTTAATATGGTTTCTTCTAACCCCGGAAAGAGACTGGACTGAGAGCTGACCTGGCCAGAGGGTTAGGCCATTGAGGTGGCAGACCATTGCAGATGCAGGACACAAGAGGGTAAAGAGGATGAGTCTCTGCAACACTGTGAACTGACATGAATGGGCACTCTGGCAGTGAGTGCATGATGTAATATTGACCATATAATCAAATAGTATTTAGGTCTTTTCTTTTACAAAGTAAACCTTTCTTTTTCACCTTTTGGATACTCAGAATCTCAACTGAGGAGAAATAATATTTCTAAACTATGCTAATATTCTTGTGGACATTGGGCTCAGTTATGACAGTAAAGCAAAGCATGCAATAGAAGCAATGGAATAGACTCACCAGCCCAGCCAAAGCTTCCGGAGGCTTTTGCCTCATGTACATACAGTGCCTCCAGGAGTGGAGGGTGAACATGGCTGCTGTGCCATATTTGAACTGGGTGACCAGGGATAGTCAATTTTTTTTTCTTCTGGTCACGGTCCAAATTTCTTGGTCAAGGTATAGTCAAGATCCAGACTCCAGAGAAAATAATAAAAAATAACGATGATAATAAGTAATAAATAAAAAGATGTTGGGGTCTGTTCAAAAGCATCTGGCGGTCTGGATTTGGCTCACAGTCTGCCTATTGACTACCCCTGCTGGGTACACTGTCCTGATCACTGGGCCCAATGATTAGGGCTCGGGCAGTGCCATGACTCTGCCCCTCATTTTCTCTGAAGAGGAAACACTGACCATGAGCACTAAACTGGAGCAGTCTTTGTGTTCAAGGGAATGAAAAGACTGCTATTTCTGTGAGATTGTAGTAAATTATTTATCATTTCTTTCCCAACCATGGATCCTTGCAGGACACAGCAGGGCCCTTTTTCATTACCAAATTATCAACCCAAAGCTTTTTTTCTTCCTTTCCAAGATAAATTAAAGAAATAGGTAGCTGCGTCCTCTCATTTCCAGTCCTTACCAAATATTCTGGCTAAGTATCATGGCCACAAGTATCCTGCAAAGACTCCTATGTAATATCCAGTTTTGTTACTGGTGGCTCTTGCTGTGTGCCATCTTTTGCCCTCCATCCCATTATTACTACAGTCCACCTTCTATTTCCTGTTCTTGCCAAAGACCCAGATTATCAGCAAAAATATTCTTACACTTTTAAATATGTTCACTTTTATTTGCTTGCATACTCACATGTTTATTTCTTTTCTCACCAGGTAATTCTAAGCATAAATCTCATCATGTTTTTCTGTCCAGAATTTAGTAGGTTTATTCCAATGCCAGTTTCAAAGTATTTTTACTTTTGTATTTTCACTGTGTAATATTTTAAAACAAAGACAGTGTAAAAGAAGCTGTTTTATAAAATCAAGTAAGGAATGACTGCAGTTGCCGTAATCTGAACACCACCACTCAAGCACTGCGAGTTTTTCAAAATATCAGTGTTTACTGAAATACATAACATGGTATTTTCCATCACAGTCTCAGTAGATTTCTTAGATTTACCTTGTTTGTGGATTTTAAATGGTTCTATAAAGGCAATTATTTTAATTGTAAAAATTGTTACTTATCTTTCTATGAACTAAAATAACCACCAGAGGGAGCTACATCCACGATGCAAACCTGAAGATAAACATTTCTGATGTTCTGTAACTATAGAGTCTGATTTGCTCACACTTACACTGGTGTAAAACTAGTGTAAATCCATGAGTTCTGGGGAGTTACTTCCAATTTAAGCCACTGTAATAGAGAGCATAATCTCACCAAAGTTTCTAACACTGAAAGCTGGCTGTTGTGTTATATATTCTGAAATCCACTGTGACTGAAAGAAGAAAACAATAATATTGAATTGAGATTTGCACTGTATGTTTTAATATTGTGTATGAAGTACTAAAAAGATTGTCTCCAATATTTTCAATTTAATACAATTACCAATTTTCTAGGCACAACAGAACAGAGAAATATAACAATCAATCAGAAATTTTAGGAAAGCTTTTAAAATTCATCCCTTTTTCTTCTTTCAGCAGTATTTGAAGCAGTATTTCCCATGATCCCTGTCTTCCTATTTTGGTCAGACAACCCAGCATATAATATGCTGGTAATATAACCACCACTGCTCAGCAGTGGAACAGATATTGGAACCAAATTGTAGTATTACATCAGTGCAATTCCATTGACTACAGAGGGGTTGTACCAATAAACTCATTGTAAAACTTATGTGAGGAGAGAATCAGATTCAGTATCTTCCAGGATCACTTATTTTAAAGATTGGATATAATGATTATACTGATGCACCCAGTCTTCCTAATAATTACTCTTTTATGATGGTTGTATCATACCTGAAAAAAACCTTCATTTACTCTTTCTGCTTATGCTATAATGGCCTATATGATTGTTTTCACACCATTCTATTTATGCAGTCATTCAAAAGTGGGAAGCGTCACCCAGGAATCACAACCCATCTCCAGAACTGAATAGCTCACAATTCTTGTGAAAGCTTCTTTCAGTTGCATAGGGCCATTGGGCCAAATTAATCTGATGTAAATCCAGAGAGTCTGATAGTATAACACCACAAATAAATAGATTTGGCCCTTTTTCTTTACCACAAACACATGTATATATATTTGTGATATGATTTGTAAATAACATAGGCCAAATTTTCTGGTATAGACCAGCACAGCTCCATTGATTTCAGTGGAGCTGTGCCAATATATATCAGCGGACAGTGTGGCCCTGTGTCCTCTTTGTCACAACAGATGGAGAAAATATTTTTGAACAGTATATTGAAAGAAACCATGACAATAATTTACAGAATATATAATACCATGTACAAGACCAACAAAGACATATAACAAGGGTCAAATCCTACAACCTGGACTCAGTCCTTACTTGGGCAAAACTTGTACTGAAGTTATTGTAAATTTACCTAAAGAAGGTCTGTGGGATTTTTTTCCCAAAAGATCACATTCTTATATATAAAGCTAACTTAATATACAATGGGCTGAGTTGCCCTATGCCGGGTTTTTGCAAACAAAATGGTCAGTAAACATTGAATAGGTCTGGCTATGTTTGTTTAAACCAGATTAACCCTGCCTACTTTCTCTTATAAATAGATATGCAACTCTGACACACTGTGGGAGAAAATTGTGCAGAATTTGTGTGGTACAATTACCCCTGAAATGAGAGCACTGGCAGAGGAAGTGGGTTGGAAGCAGTTCTTCTTCACAAACAAGCTTCAGCTTCAGCTGCAGCTCCGAAGAAGGAGGCAGAAACAAGATGATTCAAAGACTAAATAAAGCAGCATGCTTTTTCATTATGGGCAAAAGTTGCAAGTGCGGACTTGTATATTACATTATAATTGGTTACTTTTACTGAAAAGAATTAGACTATTAAAACAGTAGACATAAAGCATAATGGAAGCAATACATAAACAACATTACCTTTTATAGACTGGAATCTTTTTAATCAGGCTCCCAGCTACCACCAGCAATAGAAAAGGTTCAAGCTCCCTTGAACTTCTTGACTCTGAGATATAATAAGTTTACATATACAGTGGTTACCATTCGAACAGTCAGCATTTGACAACAGATATCATAATGTTGCCACAGTTATTTCCTAAGAAATAGGGAGAAATGTGGTATGTCAGTTCTTATTGTGTAGAAACCATTGGTAAATGCTGACTGTTTACTGGCCACCATGGCAAATGTGAAATGTTAAAAGGTGACCAGCATGTATCTTGGGTCCAAAATTTGAACTACATTAAAATGAATTTAAAATTAGTGAACGTCTTCTGTAGTCTAGATATCTAAAATTCAAACAAATAAGCAAATCAGCACTCTGTCACTAAGGGGAAACGTCATTAGAGACCAAGAACTGAATGGGTATGTATACCAAATTACCCTTTTCCTTTTAGACAGCTACTTCAGGTCATGGTTTGGGAACACTGGAAGGATGGTATATGGGTGAAATTTTCACTGCTTCTGTCTATGCAGGAACTTCTGATGATAATGGACTAGAGTTGCCTGTGTTGTGACTCTGGTACCTTTGAGTTCTACATTCTCTTAAGTATATTTTCAATTAAAAAATAATATTTACTATTGGCTCTTTGCATTGTAGCACATCAATAATGTTCCTACCAAACAGAGCTGACAAATCCATTAAAAAAATATTTTACATAGCTTAGAATTTCATCTTAATTGTTAATTACAACATTAACGTCAACAATCCAGAGGTCAAGTATTACTATCCTTAAATTATTAATTAATGTCTACCATGTGTTATTGACTAGGTTTAAATATTGAGCATTAATACCAATGCTTGCATTTTTTCCATAAAATGGCCTAAAAGCTGCATGATTTACTCAGCTAAACTCCCACAAACTTCAGTTAGTCTTCCTAAGAAAGGCCTGCAGGATTTGGCACTGTACTAATGATCACAAAAAAATAAGGCCTACGTGGTTGCACTGGAATGCCTAAAGTTAGTCACCTGAATTCACTAAAAAGTGGCCTGATTTATTTTATATGTTGAGCTGATGTTGATGTGAGTTCATAGTATTCAGTACCTCTGAAAATCAGGTCATTTTGTTTAGGTGCCTAAATATGGATGTAGGTGATTAGCTTTAGGCACCCAAGTAAAGCCAAAATGCTCAAAGTGACCTAGTTTATTTATAACACAAACTTTTATAATGCAAATGGTCCTTATTCACAAAAGTAGACTTACTGAAACCAAGACTTAACTTATTGTTGTCTTATTGTATGAGTAAGGACTACGCTTGTGAGAGAGGGTTCCTGGGATTGGACCCCTAAATATGTAGCTGGTTATTTGAAATGTTTTAGTAGAGCCATGTATATTTTGGTTATAGTAAGAATAGATATAAGGAACTTAATCCTGACCAAATGCCACTAACAATTTCTACAATAATCTGAGTATGGCCACCAGGGTGACTGATGCACTGATAAATGATCAAACTAAGTGTAATGATCAAACTAAGGTGCTAATTACAGTAGCATGAAAGGCAGCTAGACAAGTTTTGATCTTTAACTTCTCTAATTTTACAGGGTGGTGTGTTATTTTTTTATTGATGGAGCCTTGTATTATCATTATATTAAACATAAAATAAGTTGTGATTCTTTGTATCTAGTGCCAATTTTTCACCATTTTCCTCCTTCTCCAAGGTCACCATTCAAAGTGAAATGGTATTAAATATATATTCTATGGAAGTTTCTAATCTTTGTAAAACATGCAATGTATGGTATACCCTTGGACTTTATAGATAAATGTGACCATATTCATGCTATAAAGCTATTTACTTGCCAACAGTTTGCCAGAGGAATATTTTCCCTTTTTGTGATGTTCTTCAGTTACTTTACTTTAGAACAAATGCCATATTCTCTTTGGGCCAGATTCTCAAGTGGTACAAATTTGCATAGCTCCATTATCGTCAATGCTGGCCCATGATTTTTAAAAACTGGTTTAAATGTCAAGTATTAAAAATGCAGTTTGTAAATCTACTGTAAATTGTTAATTAAGAAATAAAAGTGTAGATTCTACAAAATGGTTTATTCAGATAGTCCAAAATATATTTTCTCTTATTTCATATTTTTTTCTGAATATGTCATTCTAGTAGTACTTTAAATTTTGGAAGAAATGTGCTAATCGGAGTAAATTTACTTTGCACTGGAATTATATACAGATATCCCCTAAATATTTTGCTAATAGTAAAGAGCATTCGGAAGAAGTCCCTGAACCTTTCAAACATTGAAGCATATTTTTAACTTTATCCATGTGAGTGGTTCACTTTAAGTCACTGGGACTTCTTACATTTATAAATTCATTGTGTCCATAAATGTGTAGGATCAGGACTTATGTGATTTTATTTAAAGATACTATGTTTACAAGATTCCAGTCCTTAGAGAATAAAACACTCAAAGGCAACTCTAAAATAAAAAAGGAATTTATAAAGAACTGCAATGCATAGCGAACATAGCTACTCGACAATGGAGCCTCTTTCCTCACCTTCATGAAAGCTTAGTGGATTTAGATTTCCCTGGATTTCCTTGGCAGTTTCTGCTCCCAGAATCTGCTCAGGGGGCCTTTCAGATTATGAAAGGAGAAGCCACGTAAATTCAGCATTAATTTAAATTGGTAATTATGCTGGATTGAGTGGGCGATGATGCCAAGAATGGCTATCTCCCCACTTCCTGGACCAACCAGGTTTCTGTCCCCTCTGCAGAGGTGAGGAGAATCATTTAGCCCTTACTTTGCAGGAGTATCTTTACTTTTAAAATGAAAAAGTGCATAATTAAAGAAGGAAAAAATATTGAAATATTTTATAATATAAAGTTTATTCTCATTACATGATCTAGTTATCCCAAAAAGAAGAAGAAGCTCTATAGAAAGACATATGCACATATCTTAAAAGAACAACATTTAATTCATTACAGTCATATGGAAATAAAAACAATTTGGACAAATGGAAAAGTGAAGTTTGAAGTATAAAAGACACATATCTTTAAAAAAAAAAAAAAGAAGGAAATTGACGGAAGATCACCATTTCCATATATATAGTAACCCAACAAAATAAGTCACTTTGATTAAAATAAGCTATCAGCAACATTCATACTAAACAAGACATTGAACCTGCACTTAAAGAATTGATGTTGGTTTCATAACTTCCCCTTATTTGTTCTGTTTATATGGATACCACAAATTGTTTTCAATAGATTTCAGCAGCATAAATCAATACTAAAGCAGAAACCTCATTTATGACAAAAAATAACCTTTATAAAGCTTAAACCCAGAAAATAAAATGACACTTTGTAGTTAATATAGGCACTACATCACAAGTTGTGTCTCTCAAAGCATGGAAAATATTAATGTAGCACCATACAAAACATTCTGTATTGTCCCTCTGTTATTTGATATTGTCAAAAAAGCAAGGCAATGCACTTAAATAGTTAAAACACTTCTCTTTTCCATGCTTTGCATTACATAGCTAATTTTACAGCAAGTAAACAACACTGAAAAAATCTGATCCGTTTTACATAGAGAATGTTGTGCTCTTACGTTGCAACACAATTAGTCGTAATTTAATAACTTTTGTGGTGAAATAAATTTCAATAAAATATCATGCTGTCTTCCATGCAACTGTTCCTAAACCTAAATGCATACTTTGGCCAGCTTCACCCAATATTCTCAAGTTCTATCCCTGAGAGATTGGTTATTTAGGTTAAATAATTAATTACTGAGGAAGGGCTGCAATAAAAATGTTTTACAGTTGCAAACTGTGTAAACAAGTAAGGTAGCCAGGAACTTCAAACTTTTTCTGGAAGCATCCTCCAGTCTGGAAAATCCTTGGCAAGATGTTTCACCTGCAAAGCATCAGGCTTAGGAAACTATACATAACATGCCATAACGTAATATTGGTAACTGTCTTAGATCTCAAACATCCCGTACAACAAATCAGCTAGAGGAAGTTATTAAAGGGATTGTTCTGCACATAGGCAAATTCTTTGGGCTTGTCTCCACTTACCAGCAGATTGAGGTTGCGACGATCGAGCTACCGGGGGTCGATTTATCAGGTCAAGTGAAGACCCACTAAATTGACCGCAGATCGCTCTCCCGTCAACTCCAGTACTCCACCAGAACAAGAAGAATCATAGAATCATAGAATCATAGAATATAAGGGTTGGAAGGGACCCCAGAAGGTCATCTAGTCCAACCCCCTGCTCGAAGCAGGACCAAATCCCAGTTAAATCATCCCAGCCAGGGCTTTGTCAAGCCTGACCTTAAAAACCTCTAAGGAAGGAGATTCTACCACCTCCCTAGGTAACGCATTCCAGTGTTTCACCACCCTCATAGTGAAAAAGTTTTTCCTAATATCCAACCTAAACCTCCCCCACTGCAACTTGAGACCATTACTCCTCGTTCTGTCATCTGCTACCATTGAGAACAGTCTAGAGCCATCCTCTTTGGAACCCCCTTTCAGGTAGTTGAAAGCAGCTATCAAATCCCCCCTCATTCTTCTCTTCTGCAGGCTAAACAATCCCAGCTCCCTCAGCCTCTCCTCATAACTCATGTGTTCCAGACCCCTAATCATTTTTGTTGCCCTTCGCTGGACTCTCTCCAATTTATCCACATCCTTCTTGAAGTGTGGGGCCCAAAACTGGACACAGTACTCCAGATGAGGCCTCACCAATGTCGAATAGAGGGGAACGATCACGTCCCTCAATCTGCTCGCTGTGCCCCTACTTATACATCCCAAAATGCCATTGGCCTTCTTGGCAACAAGGGCACACTGCTGACTCATATCCAGCTTCTCGTCCACTGTCACCCCTAGGTCCTTTTCCGCAGAACTGCTGCCTAGCCATTCGGTCCCTAGTCTGTAGCTGTGCATTGGGTTCTTCCATCCTAAGTGCAGGACCCTGCACTTATCCTTATTGAACCTCATCAGATTTCTTTTGGCCCAATCCTCCAATTTGTCTAGGTCCTTCTGTATCCTATCCCTCCCCTCCAGCGTATCTACCACTCCTCCCAGTTTAGTATCATCCGCAAATTTGCTGAGAGTGCAATCCACACCATCCTCCAGATCATTTATGAAGATATTGAACAAAACCGGCCCCAGGACCGACCCTTGGGGCACTCCACTTGATACCGGCTGCCAACTAGACATGGAACCATTGATAACTACCCGTTGAGCCCGACAATCTAGCCAGCTTTCTACCCACCTTATAGTGCATTCTTCCAGCCCATACTTCCTTAACTTGCTGACAAGAATACTGTGGGAGACCGTGTCAAAAGCTTTGCTAAAGTCAAGAAACAATACATCCACTGCTTTCCCTTCATCCACAGAACCAGTAATCTCATCATAAAAGGCGATTAGATTAGTCAGGCATGACCTTCCCTTGGTGAATCCATGCTGGCTGTTCCTGATCACTTTCCTCTCATGCAAGTGCTTCAGGATTGATTCTTTGAGGACCTGCTCCATGATTTTTCCAGGGACTGAGGTGAGGCTGACTGGCCTGTAGTTCCCAGGATCCTCCTTCTTCCCTTTTTTAAAGAGTAAAGGGAGTCAATGGGAGATGACATAGCCTAGTGTGGACCCTGCGATAAGTAGATCTAAGCCACCTCGACTTGAGTTACGCTACTATTGCATAGCTTAGATCAACTTTCCCCCATAGTGTAGACCTGCCCTTTCTGTATGGTGATAAAATGTAAGCAGAGTAGGGCCAAGTTCAGTCTTCCAGAACGTTGCTCTAAGCACACAGGACCTGATTTTGATCTCACACTGATGTAAATCCGGAATAACTCCATTGATGTCAATGGGCCTGATAATTAGTTGATGGAAATCCACTTCAATGGACCTATGCCAATGTATATTGGGTTTGGCCCAATGTAGTTACAGGTGTAAAACTGATGCAAACAAAACTAGAATCATAGGAAAGGCCAGATTTTGTTCTCAGTGGCACCAATATAAATTGGGAGTAACTACTGAAGTTGATTCTGGCTGCATTGAGATCAGAATTGGGAGGCCCATAAACTCTACCTGAATGCATTAACTTTTCTTATAGACTCTTGCAATAAATTGTCTAGTTTTGCTGCCTGTCCTTTCTGCTGCAGAACCCCATTAATATGCCCCATCCTTCCCCAGTTTTTGTTTGTTCTATTTCAGTGCTGTTTGGTATCAGAATATATTTAAGTACCTCATTTATCATTTCTCTTATGAGCTGAGAATAGATAATTTGTTCTGCAATCAAAACATCAAAAAGAGTTCTTTGGACTGGAGAGTGTTTTCAGAAAAATATAAGATATCTTCAATTTTATATCACAGAAACATTCTTTTAAATATATTAAATTATGTGTATCCTTGAATTATCATTAGTATTGTAGTGACACACTTGTGTAGCTGGATGAGAAATGTAGCCATTTTCTTGTGCTTAACAACAAATTTCTGATCAGCTGGAATATAGAGTAGGAAAGTATTCATGTGAGGCTTGATTCTTTTCTCACAGCAGTGTAAATCAGCAATAACTGCATTGCAGTCAATAGTTTCATCAGTGTAAAACTGTTGTACATGAATTAAGAGTCAGAACTAGTTTCAGAGTAGCAGCCGTGTTAGTCTGTATTCGCAAAAAGAAAAGGAGGACTTGTGGCACCTTAGAGACTAACAAATTTATTTGAGCATAAGCTTTCGTGAGCTACAGCTCACTTCATCAGTGAAGCTGTAGCTCACAAAAGCTTATGCTCAAATAAATTTGTTAGTGTCTAAGGTGCCACAAGTCCTCCTTTTCTTTTTGTGAATCAGAACTAATGTTTCAACCACTGACCAAATGTAAAAATAGCAATATTACATCTGGAAAGCTCTTAACATCAGTATTTGTTAAAGAGACAGTTCTAAGCAAAGAATCATAAGTATGACAGTCAACTTGCTTTTACAAGCACATTTCCACTAATTATTTAATATCAGCACTTTGCAGCTCATTCATTATTCACTGTGATGCTCTTCAATGCAGTTGGTCTTGTAAGAATAACAATTTTATACTGCTATATAACAGAGACATGAACCCAATATATTCTTTTCAAAACATTCCATAAATTGAACTATACTTTTGTGCTTTCAGTGGGTTTGTCTTTTGATTGTTTCTTTTGAATACAAGGTTGGATGAGTAAAAAGATTATTCCTACCATGTAAAGCAAACCACATATGTAAAAAGAAAAATCATATTTTTGTGTGATGTCATAGATCCAACCTGCAAAACAAGGACAAGACAGTTTTCAGTAGGGAGCATATCAGAGAAACATAAAACAGGAATGTTCAAAAAACACTGCATATTTATCTCATGAATGCATCCTATTATGTGACACTTCATTCAAGTCACCAATTTTTTCTAAAAAAGAAATGAAGTGGAAATTGTCTCCATCTTTTAGACAATAATAACAGAAATGAACTAACAAAAACCAGTGGTTTATTCAGTCCTATGCAGAAAGCCAACCCATGGCCTGTGCATCACTTATATCCCATTTAAATCCTCAAAATGGGGCTTCGGATATGCACAGGCCTTTTGATGGTCCTCTCCATAAGGGAGAATTTCACTCCCTGTCTGAAGTGAGGTATATGGAGTTAGGACTTTCAAAACATTTTGGACGGGGAAGCTTAAGGAAGAATGCTTTGGATCCAGGGACAGAAAACATAAGTGATTCAGAGGGAGAGCATCAGGCTGTGATGCAGCACAAGGCTGAATGGGAGTTTGGGCTGAGCTACCTACTTGCCAGAAAGAGCCAGGACTCAGGTGTGGGTGAAAACAAGAGGCCATCCTAGAAGTCTGGCAGGAAGATTCCAAGTGGAGGGGCCTATGTTTATAGATTCTTTCTATAAACTTAGGCCCCTCCACTTGGAATCTTCCTGCCTTAATCCATTCTTGTTTTGGGCAATGTTTTCACATAACTAGAAAAATGTGATCAAATTACTACTACTACTACTAACATTATTTCCATATGTATCCAGCCTCCTTTCTTGGAATAAAGAATAGAAAACTGTGAAAATATCAGTTTTGTCAATGAATGTGTTAACTGTAAGTAAACTTAAAAACATGTTGTTGTACTACAGAGGCACTGGGGAACACCCTGATCCTCAGCTGGTGTAAATCAGCATAGCTTCATTAACTTCAGTGGAGCTATACTGATTTACACTGTAAGGATCTGGCTCAACTGATATTTAGTATTTAATTTAATATTTAATATTTACAAAGCTCTTTACAGGCTTGATTTTCCACTATTTTGCACCTGGTATAGTCATTTACACCTGTGGAAAATCGATGTAAAATGCCGCTAAATCAGAATGACCATTTTACATTCACATTTGCACAGGTATAAATGGTTATACAAGGTACAGGGCAGTGGAGAATCAGGCCACATATTGAAAGATCAGTATTACTATCCCAGTTTACAGATGGGAAACTTACATGTAAGAAATTACCCCAAGCCATACTGTGAGTTAGTTGCAGAGGTGGTATTAAACTTTAGGAGCTCCTGGCTCCCAGACTCCTAATCAATCTGCTATTCAATCATCCTAACTATGTAAACAGTAAACGGAGATGTTTTCAGTCCTCCATCCAAGCTCTAGAACAAGTCACAGATAGTGAATGGCTCAAAAATTCAAAACTCAGGTAGAGTTTTATTAGTTTAAATTAGTCCTAGGCTCCCGTAAGTCTCTGGATATGTGATATAGGTATCTGAAGACCCTACACTGTTCATTTGCTAAAGTCTGTAACTCAAACCTTCTGTTTTATTCAGATTTCTTTCATGTATGATTTTGATCCTTGTTTGGTACATAAATCCCAATAGCAAAGCTAGATCACCAAATTCTGAATGCTTCTGTTTCTCCAATCTTCATCAACTCCAGCCCAGACAACAAATATAAATCCTATACCAGCAGCTACAGATAGGAATAAAGCAAATTGCTTCTAACATCCCTCTGAGTACAAAAGGGGCTAGCTTGGCTAACCCTATTTAATTGTTCTTTCTCTGACCCATATTGTCCCTGCCACTTCTGCATGTTGTTTTAAAAATTCTGATTATAATAAAGAAAAGGTGAAGGAAATAATTTTAAATGGAAAAAATCTATTCTGTCAGGACTGCTAACTCAAAAGTCCAGAAAAACTCTCTGGGTGAAATTCACCTCTGTGTAAAGGGAAGCATGAAGGTTTAACTTACACATAGGACTCATGCTAGCACTGTGCACAGGGTGAATTTCACCCAGTTTATTTTACTTAACCCAGCTACGGTATATGTATGTGATTTTGTAGGTGATGGAGTTGGTACTAAATACAGAAGGCCAACATAGGTACTTGAATACATGCATACAGTTCCAGGTGAAGTCAATAGGCCCAATCTGACAGTCATTGCATAGATGGAACTCCCTCTGATGTTTATGGGAGTATTGTCTTAAAAAGGACCACAGCATGCGTTCTAATTGGTGTTGCATATGATTGGTTGAAGATACAATTGAGCCCAAGTCATGAAGGGCCCAATCCTGCAGTCTTCAGTCATATAAAATTCCCAATTACCTCAATGGGAGTTTTGTGCACATAAGAGCTCCAGGATCAGGGCCTAATAATGGTAATTAATTATGGCGTAAACAGGCATGCACATTGTCAGAATGTGTGACCCTTTTATTTGGGCTGCTGAATGTTGACAATCTCTTTTAAATATGACTTCACAAATTTGCCTTATGTATAACTGCATAGGTATCTCCTCTTCTCTTTTAGTTTGCTCTGTTCCCTGCTGGCACCCCTCTTCCTCTACTCCTGGAATTATGCCCAGCATATTGCACAATTAGGAGGTTAACTTTGTTCATGAGAGAAAAAACAGCTGAATTAACAAAGCAAAAAATTTACTGGGACAAACAGAAAAAGTACAGTCCACCATCTTCTCTATTTTCCAAGAGACAGAGTATTGTCTAATAGTTAAAGAAAAGTCCTGGGTCCTACTCCCAGTTGTGCCACTGACTCATTGTGTGATCTTGTGCATTCAATACATTCTTCTGTGGCTTAGTTTACCCAAATGTAAAATGGGTATAAAATACTTACCCAAATCACTAGGTAGCTGTGATAACTAATTAATATTTGTAAAACATAGTCAAATCTTCTGATGAAATGCTCTATAACATGCAAAGTATTGTCACTGTTCCCACAGGAAGATAGAGTTTCTGTGGAATAGTATGAAAAATTGTCTCATGAACAAGACTCTTGATCTGTACATTATTTAGACCAAATGTTGGAAATAATATCATTTCCCTCCTTCAAGAAAATAACCTTACCTAATATATGTTGCATTTAATACTAGTTACAAAATAAATGTTTATGTAATGAAACTACTCTCTGGTATCAAAAGCAAAAATAAAAGGAGTACTTGTGGCACCTTAGAGACTAACCAATTTATTTGAGCATAAGCTTTTATGAGCTACAGCTCACTTCATCGGAATGAATGAAAGCAAAAATGTAGTTTTGGTTAATTATATCATAAGACGATTGAAAACAATTTATTTTTTAAAAGTAAATTTAAAACATTATACTACTCAAGTCTTATGTTCTTGAGTGAGTCAATCATGGGGCCAGGTTAATAAAAGTTGGTGCAGGAGTCGTACATTACCCCTTCCTGCTACCTACTACCAATGGCAATTGAATTTGTGGGTGTTAAATTATTGTGGTTAGGGTCCTGGACTGAGACCCAGAGATCTAGGTTTAATTTCTGATTCTACTCCTGATTTTTGTGTATGAACTTGGACTAGTTACCTTATTTTTGTGCCTCAGTTTCCTCATCTGTAAAATGAGGATAATACTTCTCTATTTCACGGGAGTGTTGTAAAGATAAATATATTAATGTCTATAAGGACTTCTTCTGATGCTGTGGTGATAGATTTCATACAAATAGGGTAGATAAATAGTGCAGTAGAGTGCTATTCCTTTAACAGGTGTGCAGTCTAGGAATCCTCTCCACTATCTATATAACAGTCTATGTAATAATATTGCTGGATTGTCTGTGTCACTATGAAGCCTAAAATGTCTGTTGAGTCAATGTAAAGCAATGGAAACAGCTACAAGCATGGTTGAGAGCTCTTTTTGTTTAACATACCAGCAGGTTCAATCATCACTGGGATTTGTGGTCTGTTGCCATCCAATTTTTAAGTTCTCAACCATTTTTTACTTTACAAATTACACCTGTGTGACAGCAAGGCATGTATCTATGCCACACCAAGAACCTAGACCATTATGATAGCAGAGGTAACTTAACCTATCACCACCCTTACACATTTAGCTAATTTGCATGCAACAATTTTATTGGTTGTATGAGGCAGTTGGCACAGATGGTGGATTATTTGGCCCAGGTGACACACCCCTGTGACAGCCCAGCCATTCAGCAACTAGTTTAAGCTTAAAAGAGATGTCTGGGGAAATCAGTGTGGGGGAAGCTCTTGTTAAGCAATGGCCTGTAGTAAAGAGCCTAACTAAAGAGCCCAGTTTCAGGGTATGGGATTTGCCTGATTTTTGTTTGTTTGTTTTTTTAATTTGTTTTCCTCTATTACTGTTAATAAACTGGGATTTGGTTTTATATTCCTTGAGATTCTGGAAGTTTTAGGGTTGGAGCTGTGGGTTCCAGGTGACCCTGTGTAACTCCCTACTGGGGGAAGCTTTAGTTTATGGCCAGAGCTCAGAGGAATGCTGCTAACAGATACTTCTGAAGAGATGCACTGAATCAATACATAGGATTTGTAATATTAGGTTAGATCGATGTTCCATCTGCTCCATATCCTCTCACAGACAGTGGCCAGAATTAGATGCTTCTGAAGAAACCCCATAAAGGACAATTATGGAACAACTGCCAAGGCAGCTCTGGCCATACACCTTTGTGGCTAACACCACCCTACTTCGGGGATATGCTGGCCTCCTATGGAACATGGGCCTCTAGAAGAGGAGAAATAGAGTTTAAATTATTAAAATTCTGCCCAAGATCAACATAAGCAAGTCTTCTGGCAGACATGTGCCAATGAGAAATGTTTTTAAGTGCTGCAGTTTCACTGAAAAGAGATATTTTAGAAAACTTGTTCTGTATATCTTCACATCCTGGTGTTCTGAGTTCAAGTAATAAATAACAATATTACTTAACAAAATTAAGATTGTGGTAGATCACCTAAAAACTTAAAATGCAATATGTTTTCTATATTGAACAATCTCTAAAAATAGCTTCACTCTCTCCACTGAAAGTTTAGAATAAAGGAGGGCTCAAATTTGCAGATGCTAACCAATGCTGGCCGCAAAATTATATACCTGCCACAACCTGCATCTAACAGATCTGAGCTAAAATAACACTGGAAATTGAAGCCAACTGTTGCTTCACTTAGTCTTCGCTATTGCCTCACTATTTCCCCTTTGGAATGCTTGATACCACATCTGTGCCAGGCAGGTTAAGTCAGGACACTGTTCCAACAGCTGTTTGTACAAGCACATTTCAAGGAGCTGTCCACATTTCTTGTTCAAGGAAAACAAGGCTTTTAAGAACCCACATATAGTTAAAGTCCTTCTAAGATCTTTCTCAAGAAGTGTGAGTTCAGCATCGTGACAGCCCATACGGCAACCTCAATTCCTTGACTGATGCACTTCAATTCTGCATTCAGATTGTTTCAAAAGGTTTGAAACACAAAACACCATACATAAAATAAACTCCTGTTACCATGTTATTCACATTGGTTCATAATATAAAAGCAGAAGGGCTAGCTGTTTTAGAGCAATCACTGTATCTTTTTTTTAAATTATTTAAAGGCCAAAGTCTCCCTTGAGATATGTACATGTTAACTGCTACTGGGCTCAATTCTGGCTGACAGGGTTTGGGAAAATGCACCGAAGAGTTGTAGTTTTGCTCCCCTTTGAAAGGATTCAGCATGTGTTCTTGTCTACGTCATTACAGCAGTGCTGACAGGTACAGAGAAAGAGAGAGGGACTACAGATCTCCCAGTGCTGGTGGTGGCTCTAACCCAGCTCAGTGACCATGCTATCCCCTACTGAAGATGACCTATTGCACCTTATTGCTTTCTTCTGACTCATGCACCCAAAAAAGACAGTCACAGTCTGGGCCAAAGTATTATTTTTAGGGAGTATTTTTGTCACCTGCCTCCCCATTCCTTTGTACTGGATATCTTACAGTGAAGGGGCTTGATTCCCTCTAAGTTCATTTGAGGGGAGCTGTAGCAATGCTTGCAACTTCACTTCTCCCAGGGGTGAGGGGGAGCATGCAATATAGTCCCCAAAATGGACAGTGTTGGCTGATAATCGGCCAAAGCCAAGGCAGCTGGTGATGAGCTTTATCAGCACATCCATTGGGCAGCCTATGCTGCTGGAGCACAAACACAATTTAAATCTACCTGATGGACCCACCATAGAAGGTGATGGTACAAACCAGTCTGTGCTCCCCACTGATGAAATCTCCCTCCCATGATGCACAGTGGCAATTCTTACTACAGCATATTTCTCATCTGGAAATATGCATGCTTCAAGTGTAAACTGTGATACACAAACACAGGAGTAAATATGTTAACAGGATCGGCTCTAGGCACCAGCAAAGCAAGCATGTGCTTGGAGCGGCACATTTTCAGGGGCGGCATTCCAGCCACCCTTTTTTTTCGGGGCAGTTGCGCTCTCGGAGCTGCACCACTTAGACAGGGCGACGGTACCGCGCCCCCGGCCACAGCGGGAAGGGGAAGCCTCAGCCCCAGGATGCTGAGCTGCCAGGGCCCAGCCTCTACCTGGGGAGGAGAGGGCGAGTCCTGCCGGGGAGCCAGGGCTGCGCTGCCTCATCTGCGCACTAGCTGCTGTGCTGCCTTGTGCCACCCCTTATATCGGGGCTTCTCTGCGCGGCTGGGCGGAGGAGGAGGTAAAGCCCCTGCAGGCGCTGGGAGAAGGTGACATTACTCCCTCTGCTTCCAGCACCACCTGCAAACCCCAGCACCACCTGAGCTTGGGGCCACAAAAAACCTAGAGCCGGCCCTGTATGTTAACCCTTTCTATGCTAGAAAATTTTTATATACAATTATTTTAAACAATGTACCATAAAAATGATAGTTTGTAACAGAGCTAGAATGACTTGCAAGGATGGCAGTTTGTACTGAGGGTGGGGAATGTCTTCTGTAAACACATACATGTAAAATGGGACACTAGTCAGACTGGGAGCTGCTGTAATTTTGTTATCCACATTATTATAATATCACAAGTATATAATAATTCAGATATAGTCACAGATATGCATTTTGATTTGAAACTTGAACTATTTACCTGCAAATGGTGGTCCTAGCAGTGCAGATATCCCATTGGCACAAAGTATGATGCCGTAAGCATTTGCAAGGTGCTCTATCCCCACTAAATCTTCAGTCACAACAGGCATGAGAGAAAAATATCCACTGGAAAATCCTATTAGGGCACAAACCATTGCCAGGCTAATATATGTATGCATTAATGGCAAAATAAGAATACAGGTGACAAGAGTGAAGTTAGCTGTCAGAAAGACATTCCAAGTACTGATGCAGGGTAAATCAGAGATGATTCCAAGGATCACCTTACCAAATATATGAACTATGGCTATAATCGAGGTCAAAGGAAATACATCATTCTGTGTGGATAAATTATACTGTTTGACGATTTCTGGAAGATGAATAAAAGGAATAACAAAGCTGCTGTATGCAAACAATGCCCAAAACACAAAGGCCACAAATACTCTATTAGTAAAAAGTGATGCAGCCCCAAAGTAGCTGGAGTACCATGTTCCAAACCCCTTCTTGATTGTAACAGTCAGCTGGCTCACTCTCTTGAGAATGCAAAGAGCATACAAATGCTTTCCACGTCTGGTTTTACCTTTGCACTTCATAGCTTGAATATTATCAAGCACTTTGTCATTAACTGGTCCTTCTTTTTTCTCTTGCTCTTCATGTAATACCCCATTAGATTTTATGGGCTTTGCAGAGTGGAACAGAGCTTTTGCATGATAATCTTCACTACTGTTTCTCTTAACACCTTTTTCATTGGCATCCTTCCCGGAAGAAAGTGGCCTCATGAGCGCTCCGCAGACACACAGGTTCAGAGACACAGCACCCTGGATGAACATTGCATTCCTCCATCCAAATTCCTTACACAGATGCTTCAGTAAAATGGTCATTAGAAATGTTCCAAACCCTGTTCCAGTGGTACTAAGTCCCTGAGCTAGTGCTCTTCTCTTCTGAAAATACTGTCCTACCATGACCACTGCAGGAAGATAAACCATGCCACTCCCAACACCTGTGAAAATAAAAACATCACATGCTACTCTACTGAAATCATCCAGATTTAGCAAGGTATACAACAGGGATGCCCAAACTCTGCAGCAGCAAGAGCCACATTAGCAACATACCAGTAATACAAGGACCATACCAAATTTGTATATAAATATAATAAATAAATACTTTGCATTTATCATTTATTTTAATCCAGTATTCATAGTACTTTCCAAACACAAATTAATTAATCCTTGCAAAGTAGGTATTGTCCCATTTTACATATAGAAAAACCGAGCCATACTGAGGCTAATGGCTGTTGATATTTTCAGAGGTGTTGAGCAGTCATATCTCAATATGACATCATCAGAAGCTGTGAGCGTTCAGCACTTCTGAAAATCAGGTCCCAAGTAACTAGCCCAAGGTTATGCAGCAAGTCAGTGGTAGAGGTGGCAATAAATGTACATAGATTTTAATTTTTAATTGTATATGCACACAGCCATAATATTTTCTTGTACCTGTATCTTATTTGACAGCAAATAGACATTGCTTGATTTTTAAGTTCACGAGTGATGAAAACTTGCAGCTAGTCAGTTTTTCCTCACTTTGCAACTACAGAGTGGGGTGATTGTAGGATACATTTTAGAACTCCATGGGCTGCATTTGTTGCTGATCCAAAGCCCATTGCAACACTGCATGCAACACAGTATCTATAGGTGTAATAATAGAAGATGACAGAGGGGAACATCTCCCCTTAACTTTCAGCTGTGAGGGAGGGGGCTGACAATGCCATTCCCTCTTCCCCCTTTCTGCCCCCTGATTTTTGCTGGCTGTGTAGGGGAGAGGACAGAGAGGAGAAGCTAAGAATAAAGGTATTACCATATCAGCTAATAGATAGGTGGGGCAGCTGTAATTGTATCCTCTGGCCAACAGAGGGCTCTCTGTCCCCTCTTCTCCCATTGCTGGACAGGCATTTCAGGATCCTTATATGGGCCCTTCCCCTCCAGATATGAGGGTCTGAGGAGCTGAAGGGTCTGGCTCCCTCTAGTCCCTTCCCTTAGGCCAAAACCAGGAGACACAGCTATGGGGGATGTGGGGCCACGATGAAGGGGAGACAGCTGATAGGGTGCACAGGCACTGGAGAGGACATAGGGGAAGCCAAGAGGGATATTTTGGGAAAGGTACAAGAAGCTGGAAGGATGTGGGGGAAGTGAAAGAGCCTGGGGTGACAGGCAGTTTGGGGAAGAGAGAATGAGGGGCTTTGTGAGTGAATGAGTCTGGGGAGAAAGATGGGAGAGATTCATGGAGATGAGCCTGCGGGTTGGAGAGAAGACATTGGAGGAGTTTGTTGGAAATAGGTGGGTCTTGGAAGACTGTACATCAAGAGGAGTTGGGAAGAGGAAAAAAAATAAACTGATGGTGTTAGCAGGAGGGTGGGCATGCAATGAGCCACCTGAACACTAACTGCACTGCTGGTCAGAGGCCAAGGTAAGTAAGTGCTGGAGGCCCTTTTTTAAGGGCAATGGAGAGAAAACAACAGGTGTGGGAACCTTTTTTGGTGTTGCAGTGAAGGGAGGTCTTATGGCATTGCAGAGGAATATCCCTGATATCTCCAATTTTTTACCAGAATTACTCCACTGATAGTGTCTCAGTTCTTCTCAATCTCACTTGAAACATCCAGTCAGATTCCTCTAGAGAACACAGATATGGTTTTCATGTTAGCTATTTATTTCTATATATTACATTCTGCAGTTCAATAGTTTTGGTCTGGTTTCCTTGGACAGGATGAAAAAAAGAGAATTGATTCCTTTGTACCTAAGGGTACTCCAGATATAAGGAAAGAGTCGTACAGGTAAGGCTCCCTGCCCTGATGAGAGTTAATTATACATCACTGTTTTGATATCATTGTGATCTCTAATAGAATCAATAAAATGATACCAACCATAATAGAAAAGCAGAAGAAAATTCTTTACAGAAATTCTGTGGATTTTGTAGAAATTTCTTTAAGGGATTTTTGGGGGCAGGCAGCTTCATTTCAATCTCGCCAAAATTTCCAAAAAGATTTATTTTGTCCATATTCATCACTCTTAGTTTTTTCACACAACTTGTAGTTTCTGATTTATCCTTTTGGGAAAGACCAAAACTCAAATCTCTTTTCCACCAGTTGAGCTCAGTGAGAGCCTGAACTATACTTTGCTTCATGCTGCAAATGCATCTTTCTAGAGACATTACATCCAGAGCCTCTTCAATGGAAGTGTTGCTCAGATAAGAAACACAAAAATTATCCCTTAATTATTCCTTGCAGTCATGTCTGCCATCCTGTCTCACAGCTGTGAATAACTACCTTCTGATGAGGGATTCTGGGATTGGAGGTACTCTAGTGTGTGACAGACAACCAGTGTGTTAAAAGCTCAGACCATTTGAGAAGTTACAACAATCTACAATATGTGACTAATGATTTTGGAAAGATAGTCCTTGTCAGGGCAGCTGATCCTTTAAGGGGAGTTGGGCTCAGACTCATCTGTGATGACTCAGCTACCTCCCAGCTGAGACAGAAAAGCTATGGATCAGGTGATGATTATGAAAGCCAACAAGTAGGCTATTTGAGAGACAGCTGTGGGGAGGTTCCTGAAAGAGTAGTTATAGGAAGTAGTTTCCCTAGAGCAGGGTAACTCCCAGGCAGAGAGTTAGAAGAAGAACTGAGGTAAGAGCTTCCAGGAGCAGGGGGGCTCTGGCAAGAAGCCCCTGGATGGGGGAGTAAGGGGGAAGAGGAGGGTTTGTGAATAATTCTCAGGCAGGTGTCCTGTACAGTGGAAACCTCCAGGGAACAGTAGGTCTCTGTAGAAAACTCTGGAGTTAGAGGCTGGAATGATTGATGTGCTGTGCTAGCTTTCTGTAGAAGTAATAAAGCTGAAGCCCTGGAGAAAAGGGCCTGAACCAGATTCTGGGTGTGGTGTCATTCCTTGGTCTGGGGAGGCAGGCCAGCAGCCTACTGACACCTTTAGTGTACTAAAGTCATTGCTCAACAAAGGCTTATGTTCTTCCTCTATCTATGCAAATAGAGACTTTTTTTTGTACATAAAGGATTTTTGCTTATGGTATAGTGCTGTAAAGATGTAGTCCTCACCCTGAACATATCACCAAACCCTTCCTTTATAAGTTTAGTCATCTCTTAGGCTTGCTACAATTCCTTCATTTCAGTGGATATATGTGTGTGTATGTATGTATATATATATATATATGCACACACACTAATTTATATTCTTCTACTGTGCTCATTAAAAGTGTAAATGGTTTTCCCATTAACTGACATCCCTATGTCATTTTCTGTGAGAGAGCAAGAGAAATTGTCGTATGGTAAAAAGGTTTGGCTGCATCTCAGTTAAGTTACACCAATTTGGCTAAAGGTAAAGAGCTGGAGAGCCTCTAGGCTGAAGTGACCGCCTTGTGAAAAGAACTGAAATCATGCTGGGTGAAGCCGCTACAACAAAAAGATGGATTGAGCCAGAAGGTACATCAGTTGATTGAAGCTAAGATCATAATCCAAAGACATGCGACAGTGACAAAGCTACAAGGCAAAGCCACAACCATACCCCTGCTAAAAAAAAAAAAAACCACCAAAGAGCTCTACCCCAAAGAAAAAGGAAGATAAAGGTTATTTTCACATATTGATAAAATAGCGTGGCTGAGGAAAGAACAGAAGTGGGTGTTCTTAAGTGAGATACTATAAGCTGTGAGCAAAACAGTACAATCTCTGTTTTTTGGAAACCCTGAAAGGGATCTGAACCTCAACAGAGAGATCCTTAACTTAGATGCGTGCAGCCAGGGAGACTCCTCTCCAGGAGGCCACTACCACAGAAAAGTTTATTTGTTGTGAAATACCAGTTCTGTTGACAACACAGGAGGTGGCAAAGAGATTCTACCATCTAGGTACACAGGTGCCTGGTGTAAATTATGACATGCCATGGCATATGGATGACCACATGCATCCTATGGGCTACATGCAACAGAGAGAACCTCAGATCCTGGTTACTTAATTTTTTCTGATGAAAATAAGGGTATTGCCAAGGACTGGTTGCCATGATAAGGATGTTGCCAAGCATACTGGTTGACTTCCTGGTAGCGGCTAAACAAAAAGTGCCTCCCTGTCTGGGGAACATGGGTAATGATAAATTTGATCGAGTCTACATTTTGGATATAGATTAGCTCTTGAGGGGGAAGCTTTGTGATAGGATAGTCTGCCCTTTAAAGGCAGTTTTGCCTAGAGGTCAGCCCATCTATATATAGATATAAAGTGTGGAGGGTGTGTGTGTGTGATGTATGTATGTATATATATATATATATATATAGTGTGTGTGTGTATATCTAGTTAAGGGAGATATGGATAGAGAGGAAGCAATCCTTGGAATGAGTGTTGAGTGGGAGTAAATCCCATCACTTTCTCTTTAAGAGCCCAGGAGCCTTTTGGAGAGGGTGGGGCAGAGCTCCCCTCTCCCCCAACAAATTGCAGATAAACTGGGGGAAGGGGACCAGCATAAAGATAGCCTCCTCCCTCATATCAGAGCAGATACTAGGAGATATCAGCAGGCAAAAGCTGATCTGTGGAGCACCTAGAGGGCTAATTAAGGGAAAGAGCCAGCTGAGGGAGAAGCTGGCAAAGGCCCTACAGTTGACTAACCCACGACTCAGCTCCAGGAAGAAGAACTGAGGGCTCCAGCTTAAGAAGGACCAGAAGATTTGATAAAAAGAACCGACTTTCAGAGACTAGAGCTGGGGGGGAAGGAATACAGCACAGTTCCAAGTTGAGGACTCCTGCTTAAGGAAGCACAGAAAAGGAGGAATCTAAAGAAGGAATGGGGGAAAAGTTCCAGAACAAAATACGAGACTGTTTCCAGGCACAGGGAGAAAGAGTATCTTGAAGGAAGGAACTAGCAGGACTGAGCCTGAGATGACAAATGTCCCCGGTTTATCTGAGTAAGGTCCTAGTTATGCTTGTGACTGTTACTAATAAATTAAACCCTTGGAAGAGGGGGGGTGCTCTGACTAAAAAAGGTCTTTCTGGACTTGTTTGTAAACCAAGGCAGGACCTGCCTGTGGTGCCATCCCTGACTGAAAGGTGGCATGCCTGGGTGACCTCTATGCCATCCCACCACTGACAAAACATCTTCACATGCTGAATGATAGAACTTGCATGACAAAAATAGCCATTCGATCCGACGCTGCTTTCACTTTCATTGGTATAATTCTGTTAAAGACAATGGAGTTACACTAATGTAAAAACGGTGTGAAATAGAAATCAGGCCCATTGGACTACAATCTATCACTTGCCTCAATATTAATTTTGGAATAACTCCACTGACCTCCAAGTGAGAGCAGAACCTTGCCTATTATGTCTAAAACTATAGAACAATAACATTGGTCTGACTGTGCAAGCTAACTAAAAAAACTAAAACTGTGCTTGCAAACTAAAAGAAAAATTGTTAAATGGTATTTCCCCACCTAAAATCACTTTATCAGAAGTTTAAAAAAAATCAAATGTTAAAATGACCCAAGAGCGATCTTCGTTTCTCTCATGTTCTCAGCAAATAGACTTCCAGAAGACACTGACACCATTTAAAAGAATTTCCAAATATAAATATTGCTTACCAGCTGTCACACCAAATGTAATGAAGAGGTAATGTACATTTGAGGCATAGGCACTCAATACCCAGCCTAGGGCATTCAAGATCCCGCCAGTTATTGCTGTCTTGCGGCACCCACATGTGTTAATGAATAAACCAATGAAAGGACCTGTCACAGAACATGAAGAAGAATTTGCTAAAAGGTTAGTGTAAAGCCCTTACTGTGAAACTTATTAAAAGTCTTAATTATCATTTCAAACAAAATATGAAACAGTTTAATTGAAATTGTTAAATGCAATTAAAAGGATTATTTTTTCCTGTTAACCCCTTTAGGCCCTCAAAAATGTCATTCAGTTAATCCCTTTAGGCCCTTGGCTAATAACTCTGCCAGTACCTAAATTCAAAGTTCTTTATTTCACCTGCAGTGGCTTATGATAGTGCAAACGCTTAGTAGACCACAGAATCCTGCTCCTAAGTCCACTTCATGCTGCTTCTACCAAATTAGTGAAAAATGGTCAGCAAAGAATTCCCCCTCAGGAGTTTAATTCTCTGCTAGAGGAAAGTCCACAGTGATGGTGTAGCTGCTTCCCCAATCCAGCTATTCTCCCCAACCCCCGCTCCTCTGGGATGAGGGAACCGTAACTGCCTCCCTCTACCTGCAGTATTCCCCTCCCCACACACTGTAGTTTCAGGTGGAATGAAGATTCTAGCCACTGAATCTACATTCCTCAAGAGATTCATTAGGCAAGTTGTGAGTTAAGCAGAAGACCAACTAACTTGTCTGTTGCAATGTGAAAATGTCTGCTTCCCTGCTCTAAAGAAAGATTTCCTCAACTCGAGGACCACATTCACACTGGCTTTCTCTCTCCCAGAGGTGTCATGATCCAGCTGAAATGAAACATTTTATCCATTACAGCTGAGAAACATTGTGCTGACTCAAAATGTGTGAAAATGAAGGCCATATCTTACAGAAAAGATCCACCCTTTAGTTTGATTTGTTGCTGTTTCACAGTCTCTGGAGCGGTGGAGATACTGTATTTAATTAATTGATTTGATTTATTTACTGAACTATACAATGTACTCTGTTATGACTTAGGTACATATACAGAATTTAATAACATAATTGGTCCATTCCCCATTAACTAAATTCTTGAGAAAAGATGGGTCTTGTTCCATGCCTTAAAGATCAACAGATGGGCTCTTCTGGACAGCAAGGAAAATGAATTCTAAACTTTTGAGCCCTCTGGAACACCCTTTCAACAGCTCCCTGACACTTAAATCTAGGGCTTGCCAGCTATAACATCCCAGTATATCGCCAGTGCCAGTGCAGCACATTGGAGTAGCTATAAGCCTACTCACGGGGATTTGTCCATGGTAAATCACAGAGCATAAATTAGCAACCAATCATATCAAGCTGATCCTGGACGTTCTTGGAAGGATACATCCCTCAACACCTTGTGAATGATATAATCCATTTCCCAGATGTTTCACTCTGAACTATCCTTGATCCTCGCATCAACTTTCAGAAATGTCAAGCATCACAACACTCAGCAAACTTAGTGAGGAGGCAGATGACAGTAGTCTATGAACCACTGTCAAATACCATGGGTGAAGGAACTCCACCATGTACAGTGAAAACAACATCTACAGTATAAGTCTTGTCACATTCAGGGGCATGCATATCTGTAGAATGTCTATGTATTTAGTGTGCATGAAGTAAGATTTGTATCTTGAGCAGTGGTTGATATTACTGCACATAAACATCCTGTTCCTTTGCTTATGAGATGTATGTTTTGCTTTTTTAATGTGATTCCTGCATTTGATTTAACAAAATTATGTGTTTATTCTACCTAGGTACCTGAGTACCTAACAAAATTATAAGATTCAGCAGGATGTCAGAGTCTTTTAAATTGCTACTGTCTCTTCTAATATTGGTCCTAAACTGTTCATGTTAGTGAGTCAGGCTCAGTGGATGGCCCTGCACTGCTTGTCATGGATGCAGTGGTGGGGAGGGAGAGCTCAGTAGTTTGAGCATTGGCCTGCTAAACCCAAGGTTAGGAGTTCAATCCTTGAGGGGGTCATTTAGGGATCTGGGGCAAAAATTGGGGATTGGTCCTGTTTCTGTTTAATCTATCATGGCACTTTGTCCTGTTGATCCCATTTGATGCTGTTATTTAACCACCCTTATAAATGTTTCACAGAGCCTGTGACAGGTACTACAGGATAATCTATTTACACTCAGGTGAAGGGGGGAACAAATAAATGTGGTCTGTTTAACAGACAAAATATGGCACCTTATATCCTTGGGAGTGCAGACCTGGAAAGCCCTCTCACAGGCATTCATGCAACAGATAAATACACCTGGCATGTAGAGAAGGATTGGAATTGCTTCTGCAACCCTGTTGATCTAGATTAGCTTAGTCACTGTACAGATCTCTGAAAGCCAACATCTTGCCATATATATAATATAGCCTTTAAATAGCACAGAAAGCAGAATTCCCTGCACTGATTTAAGTATTAGTGATGGTAACAACTTTTGCAGAGGCAGGTGGTGCATCCCACCACTCAGCTGAAAATAAGAGGCCTCTCTGTAAAACTCTGACAAAGAAATATGTAAATAAGCACAGAGGATAAGTGGTTAAATGCTGCTCTGAGAGCTTTAGTGATTTTAATGATATTTTAACTATTATAAGCTTTTGTGACTTTGGAACTTACTTGTATCCCAAATTATCTTCATTGTTAATTATTAATGATTGACAATATTTCAGCTAAAAGATACTTTAGTTACTTGTTTTCCTTTCATTCTTGAAGACCAAAAATAAACTACAGTTTCTGAGTATTAGGAAGATACAGGGAAATGTGGACTGTCCTAGCATGATTCAAGATTTACCTTGCCCTCTGTGAGGTTTGGTCAAATCCTGCCCTGACTTAGACTCCTTGGCACCCCATTGAAGTAACTGAGATTGCACAAAGTTTAATCCTGTAGGATGTATACACCTAACTCCAGCAGCATTGACAGACATTTCACATAACATAGATTGGAGAATATACTCATTTTTCTGGGTTGAACTAAGACTTAATGGGACCCAGCTACACTAATATTTTGGGGTCTTTTAGGGACTCCTCCATCTTCCTCCAAGCCTCCCCTCTTCCAGGTGGGCTGTTCTTTCTAGTGGTACACACCTCAGACAGACTCTAAATATGATTCTATACAGCCTTGCACCTTGTGCTGTCATTTACACTTGTGTAAAATAGGTGTATAGCACAAAGTGGATATAAGACTTTGCGCTCACTTTGCACATATGTAAATGACAGCACAAAGCATCAGACAGTGAAGAATCAGTCCCTAATTCTGTTCCTCCCAGCCTTACCTCTTGACCTCCCAAGTAGATTCTAAGACAGACTCCAAGCTTTTTGGAGGGACTATTTTTTCCCATTCCTGATCCAACCCACCAGGTAATTAGCTGGGACCATCAGATGTATGTTACATGACTGCCTACTGCTCCTCCTCACCTCACTGTTTCCCCCAGCTTCACTGCTGCTCCCTGCCTCCCTCTGACTACATGGCTCATATGCCAGGGTATGTCTACAACTGCAAAGAAAAACCCTAGAGCCAAGGTCAGTTGACTTAGGCTTGCATGGCTTGGGCTGCAGGGCTAAGAGTAGCAGTGTAGACCTTAGAGATCAGCCTGGAACCCAAGTTCTAGAAGGAGGAGCTTGGAGCCTGGACTCCAACCCCAGTGGGAATGTCTATTTTTAGCCCCACAGCCCAAATTAGTTGCTGTGGTAGACAACTGAATTTGGCCTGGTGACTTTAAAACTATAGTCCAAGAACACTATGGCCTACTCAGTTACCATATTTGAATAGTGCAAGAAAATACTTGCATGGGGGGAAATACTACATTAAACCTATACAGTTTTGCAATATAATTATATTGGAACGTACCTACGATCAATGTAATACCCATGCTAAGGGAGCTAACCCAGGCAGTCAAGCCTCGACTTTGACTGAATTCTTCAAGCCATTCCATGTTAAGTATTCCAAGGGCCATTTGTGACCCCATGATGAGTATATGTACAAGGAAGGAAGAAAGGACAATCATCCAAGCCCATCCGCCATCAATGTTTGGATTAGGCTTAAGTGTCTTAGTCTTATCTTTTGAATCATCTTCAAAATCATATGCAATATCTTCTTGAGTGGTGCACATTTTCCCCACAGTATTCTGAAACAAAAAAAAAATGCTTTCAGTATGCACAGAAAACAGGTACAGGTTTGTAATAGTTATTTGTTTTTATTTTTTAATAGTATAGATTAAACTAGTTCCCCAACCTATTTTCCAGCATTTGTTGGGGTTTCTGCATACAGTAACAGTATGAGGACTGCAGGGCAGTATTATTCAGCCACAACCTTAACTCCACTTCTACAAGTAAATAGGTAAGAGAGCCTCTGGCTAGAGCCGGTAAAAAAATGTTACACAAATATTTCTGAATTTGTTTTGCATTTTCAACATTTTGAAATGTCATAAAGTATCAACCAGCTCTATAGTTCCAAAAATGGGGGAGGGGGATTTTACAAACTTTTTTCAAAGTTTCTTGTTTGTTTTTTTAATTGAAATATTTTTAAAATTAACATTTTTGAACCTCTAATTTTTTTTACCACCTCTATGTACTGTTTTCTATGAGAAAATCTGTGGGATTATGATGTGCATCTCTCCCTTAGCCAGTCTCAGGATAGCCCTGCCTACTCTACTCCCCCACACACTCCTGGGTTTCATGAAGCAGGGACGGTGTTGCAGAGGTGAATGGTTCCCCTTTCTCCCATGTGGAAGGGATGAGAGCCACACATGGAGGGCTTGGGGCACGATTTAGATCATGATTTTTTAAAAATGAAACTGTTATAACAAATTTGGACCATAGCCATATTTTCACTATTGCGTTTCAATGCAGATGTGTCCTTCATGTGGTTTTTAGTAGTATAACAGCATTTCAATAAATTTAAATATAAAACGCATGGAAAACCATACACTGTGTGTGTGTGTGTTGTGTCTTTCTGGTTTTTGTACTTACCTATGTGATGTATGTGTGACTATAATTTGCCTTGTTTGTCACTTTGGCCCAGATCCACAAATAGAAGTTTGGAGCCTAAATACCTTTGTAGATCTGGGCCTATATGTTTCTGCTTTAACTTTACTCACGTAAGACTGGAAATGTGTAGCCTTCATGGATTGTGACTGTGGTCCCATAATAGGACAAGTGTCATCTATATATGATGCAGCATCTTCTGCTCTCCCAGTAAACTTGGATTATGTGTTTTTGTGTTCAAAATTATAAAGCTTTTAATGAAAAGGAAATAATAAATAAAAGATTACCATTCTTTCTGCAGCGAAAACCACTTGTAATCTTGGGATTTATTATTTTTACTATTGGTGGGACAAGAGTGAAAGAAGAAAATAATGAAAAAATATTTAGATTCCGTGATCTTCGAGATGTTTTGCTTACATAAATTATAGAGCAGGGGCCTGATCTTACCTTCCTTGCACAACTCAAGCTCCCATTAAAGTCAGTATGATATATAATTATATTGTTAGGCTTTCAGTTATGCTGGTGTAAATCCATAGTAACTCCACTGAGATCAGTCAGTTACTCCAAATTTATGTCAATGTAGATCAGAATCTAGCACAGTGGGAAGGTTTGGGTGCATATGGTATGGAGGACTGGGTCTCAAATAAATTAAATTGACTTTGGGTTTGTTAGTCCCCACAAATGAAGAGCACAACCCAGAAATAATAAAAATAATTTCAAGTGACTCCACAGGCAATTTTTAACTGGACGAGTCAAGATGCCGAGCCAACTCTCCATTTATCCTGTGATGTATTGAAATGTTACAATACTGTGGAGCACCACAGAGGTTTCCATGGAGACTGGGAACTTTAGTGGTACAAGTTACCAGATAAGGTGTGTTTTTTCTCTCGCCATGAAGAAATGGAAACAGGAGGTGGCTTCAGAAACAGACAAAAGAAAATATATTAGAAACAGTGAAACAATTTCTGGTGGTATTCTATGTACCACATTTAATAGTATAATATGCTTCTTGAAACAATAGCTATTTTGAAGAGATTAAATGCATAACTTAAAAGTATATGTGTGATGTTTTTCAATAAATGAGACCTTGTTCATCACTAACAAAATCCAGTTCCTATAGAATTCAAATGATAAATTAAATTCAGTGGAGCAAATGTTGCCTTCTAGTACATCTCAGTGACAGCCTCACACAAACAATAATCAACACATAAACAACAATAAACAGACCTAATAGGCAAGGCACAAACAAGACAAAGACCACAGAATGGTGACATTGGTAAGGCTATATAGGTATAAAGGAGGACAGAATTTGGCCCACTAGATAAAATTCTGCTCTGATTCACAGTGGTATAAATCAGAGTAATTCCACCAAAATAAGCGAAGTTACTCTGGATTTACACTGGTGTAATTTAAAGGAAAATTGGGTCCAAAACATCTAAATTCATTAAAGCAAAGCGTAGTATGCAACTGATTCTGAACTCGTACAGTGTCTCCTTAATGCCAAGAAATAAGAATCAACAAATAAAATTAATGGGTCATAGGCAAATATGATAGGATAAGATACTATAATGAAGCAGTGCTCATGGCAACCAAATATTACAGTAGTATTAGGAGCAGGACTGGCCTTAGGCATTTTGCTGCTCAGAGCAAACTTCAATATGTATACTGTGCTCCTTCCCTCAGGCTATGATATTTTACAAAAATAAATAAATAAAAATCTATAAAGTAAGAGCACTGAGTTTTGTTGTTGTATGTCACCTCCCATTTCTAAAACAATTGAGAAGCTGGACTGAGTGTAATGTGAGTAGGCAGTAACCATTTTTAGCAGGGTACACTTGGAAGTCTACTGTAACACAGCAAAATATGTGGTACCCACTTAAATCATCTACATGAACAGTTATCAAAACTACAGGATAAAGTAGAGTGGTCCTCCATCCAATGGATTTTAGGAAGAGCACTGGAAAAGGGCTTCTCTGTGCCAACTTATAGCAATCTGACAACCTAGGAAAAATGTAGTTGTCCTGGGACTAAACTATTTTCTATAGTGACTGGGAAGAACCGTTGAAACTTTATAGAATTCATCTATTAAATTTTATTTCCAAATTAGTAAGAAGTAGGATGACCAGATGTCCCATTTTTGGGGACTTTTTCTTATATAGATGCTTATTACCCCCCACCTCCTATCCTATTTTTTCTCAGTTGCTATCCGGTAAACCTAGTAAGAAGTTTTTGATAAAGAAAAGTGTAAGTGCCCACTGCCAAAAGATTATGTCAATATCAGGGCTCCTTCTGGGTTAAATTCTGTTTTCAAATATAGCAGTTTCCAGGTCAGTGACATCACTCAAGATTTTACACTTGGGAAGCCGAGAGCATAATTTGACCAGTAAATATTTCTTTTAAACAACCAGGTAAAGACTGCCAGGGGTTGAAAGAGGGATCTCACCCACTTTTTAAGATGTGCAGGAGGGATGCACGTTAAAAGTTCCACAAAGATTTACAAGAGAGAAATTATCTCCTGTGAATTTCCTAAAGTGCCCAGTGTGAAAGTAGAATGAATTATATTGAAATTATAATTCATTAAAGAAATGCTGCTTGGAGGATTTGTGGAAATATAGTTGTCAGGAAGAGAAACATTAAGGCGTGTGAGACAATGGGTCCTCAAACTAATTAACTTAGAGCTCAGACTGAGCTAGGAGATTGGTAAACGTTAGTATGCAAATAAGATATGTATGTATATTTGTTAGTTCTTCCTTTTGTCTCTTATGTTAAATTGGCTTTCCCTTATCTGTTTAAATAAGTTAGCTTGAGCTTTGGCAGGAGGCTCACACATATCTGGGTGCATTGCTAATAAACAGAGTGGTCTGACAAATTTGTGAGTCTTGAATCTGACTTTGACACCAGGAAAGAGGTTATCCAAACACTTCCAGATTATGGCATTTACACATGCTATTGCCAATTATTTGCAAGCCAGCAGAACTTCAAAGTTGTCAAAAGCAAAACTTCTTTTTATGTCTTGCCTCTATGTAAAAAATTCCATATAAAAACTATATTAAGCAGATTAAGTAATCAAAAGTAAAAAAAAAATGCAGACATCAAGGTTACAGTATTCAGCCCTACCTTAACTCTGATCCCTTTTACATATGCATCATGATACAAAGTTAGTTCCTCGGGTGTTGTCAGTGGAGCTAAGAGTGGTTTACATTAACAGAAGATTTGGCCACTGACTTTAATGATATGATCATTTACTTCTTGCAGTACACGTATAGCTTCTTGCAGTACACCGTACTAGTGTGTGTGCCAGTCAGCTTATATGAAAAATACATAGAAAGCTGTACTTGCACAGTATATTATAGATTAAGTATAACAAAACAATAGTAAAAAATTGCTTGCATACATAAGCTGTCTAATTTTGTAGCTCAGTTACCTTCATAGTTAACTGTGTCACCGGCTGCACTGCAACTAAGGAACACAGAAACATGTCTGTGTTCAGCTGAGGTAACGGCACAGTGAAATGCCTCATTCACTGAATTATGTGTAAAGAAGGTTGCGCTGCTAGTTGAAAGACAAATCTAAAGTACATGGCTGCTGATTATGGGTTCCGTTAGATTGTCACTAGTCCTCACCAGGCCACATAGGGGAGTAGGAAGGAATAAAGACCACTACATGCATGAGAGCAGGGACTCCATACTTCCTCCCCACAATCAAATGGTCTGGAGGAATTGGTGAATGCCATAGCTGTGCTCCACTACACACCAGCAGAAATGGTCAGGCTCCAGCAGATGTGCCCTGAAAAGGAGTGAAGTGACTTAATACCCACTTGTCTTCAAAGCAACAGGGAAAGAGGACAGGGATTGTGCCTCTGAGTTACAGTTCCTTCCTGGAGTTCTTCCTGGGTGGTAAAGATATACACCACCCTTTACAAAGGCCCAGTGAGCCTAAAGGCTCAGATTATCCCTATATTAAAATTCATTGGGCCAGATCCTCAACTGATGTAAATCAGTGTAGCTCCATTTATGCTCTTTTACATCAGCTGAGGATCTGGCCCATACACAAGAGAGAAGAGAACTAATTGTATAAGAAGTCTAAGTCAATAAAGATCTACTGAATGATTATGGTAATGAATATAATGAGGGATACAAGAATGGGAAAAAATGCAATATATTACACCATTTGTCTAAGATTGTAGAAAATAATGTTTGATTGACATAATCTATTGTTTCAGAAATAATATGTCATCATCTCACTAAAGATTGCCCATAAGTGTGAATCTGTGAAGGTTGAATATGGAACCCTAGTTTTTGTATTTCCTGATCTCAAGTGCTTAACTGTGCAGCTTTTCCATAGATTTTATATGGAATCCACAAAGTAATATTAATGGCCTAAATTTCAAAAATAAAGAGTAATTTTCAGTGCCTCAAGTTTTGAGTGCACAGTTTGAAACACCTTAGAGGGCCTGGTTTTCAGAAATGCTCAGTACCTACTCTCTCACAATCAAGCCCTATAAACTGTCTCAGATTGCCCAAAGATTGAGGCACCCCAAACCACTAGTCATTGAAAATGTAGTCTTGATTTAGCTATATGTGGGTTATATATTCACTGAACATTATATCAAACTTTCTAAATACTGATACTGTACATAGTCATTTTTTTCTTTTTTGACACGAATGAATGTTGTGTATTTTTTAAATAATTTAAAACAAAAATGACTTACTTATGTCTAATGATACTCATCCTATTTACAATAGCAAAGAAACTGCTCACTTGACAACAGTAAGGATGGCCCCAAACAAATAAACTGATATAACAAAGTGATCTGAGTTAGTGCCAGACTTGCAACAACATCCATTAACCCTGGGTAAAAGGGAAATGCTTATTTTACCCTGTATGAACTGGATTCTGTCTCATTTTTATATTTAGTCCAGAATCTTTATGTAAATATACCCACAAGCAGGAAAGGTCACTTGCAATACTTGTGCAAACTCTCAAATGATAAACAGAGCTGGGATTGGACATTTGGCTGCTCTCCTCACTCATGACTCAGCACACCCCTGACCTATTGCATTGCATTGTGGATGTATTTAAGTAGAATGTAGTACCTTAGAAGTCAGAAAAGCAGAGGACACTCTTTGCAACTACAAAATCGTAAAGAAATTATAGCAAAAGTTCCAACAGCTTATATGCAAAGCCATACATATTTCCCACAACCAAACAAGATTGTGAGGTCCTCAGTCACAACAACAAGGCATGATACCCCCACCCTGACTCCCTTCACCTGTGACTGGGTTTGGATGTGGGAGTAGCTTCTAAGAGCCAGTTTGTCAAAAGAGCTCAGAATCAGATTTCAAATGTTCAGCACCCATAAGGGGTGCCAAATTTTCGAAAGAGCTCAGCTCCCATTTAGACACATTAATAAGAACCAGATTTTTTAAAGTGCTCAGGACCTAGCAACTCCCTCTGTAAAACAAGGCTAGATTTTCAAAGGCTGCTCATCCAGTGTGCACCCAACATAGCAGTTTCATCTACTAGATAAGACCCATTAAGTCTAATGGGATTTCTGCATGCAGGACTGTTAGGAATCTGCCTATCTCACTTAACTAATTGAGGAGAACGAGAAGCAACTTTTGCATGATGTTAACGGCCTTCTCAGGTGAATTAATAGTTTAATAAATATTAATGCCAGAAAGAACTATTATCATTATCTATTCTGACCTCATGTATAACTTAAGCCATAGATTTCATCCAGTGATTCCTGCATCTAGCACAACTTGTGGTTGAACTGGAGCATATATTTTTGAAATACATCCAGTCTTGATGTATACTTTACTTTAAAGAGTATAAGTGATGGAGAATTTACCATATCCCCAGGTAACCTGTTCCAGTGGTTGATTATCTTTCCTGTTAAAAGTATAGAATATTGCACTTTTATGGCAACTTTCATCAAAGAACTCTAATTGTTTTACAAATAGTAATGAATTTGGCCTCACAACACCCCTGCTGGGTACCCTAAATAGTAATATCCCCATTTTACCAAGGCACAGAAAAGTTAAGGGCAACATTTACAAAGTGGCCTCCAATTTTGGATGCTTTAATTTTTGGTTGCCGAGCTTGAAACACATTTAGCCTGATTTTCAGGTTAACACCTCACTGACTTCAGGGGAATTGAGAATATTCAGCACTTAGATGAATCATGCCTGTCTTCATTTGCACAGTCAAACATGAAGGCAATCTAGTGTGGAGACTTCTTTTGAAAATGTTGGGCTAAGTGAGTTGGCCAAGGTCATGCAGGAAGTCTGTGGCAGAATGAGAACAAGAACAAGTCTCCATGCTCCTAGTCCTGTGCCTCAACTACAACGCTATCTTTCTTGCTCTCTGGCTATTTTTCTCACTCTTTGATGTTGTTATAGGATCTGTATGATGGATCTTGTTCCTGATATTATTCTCTCCCTAGGAGCATGTAACATGGTTATTAGGGGAAGCAGAATATGGAACTAAGATCTGAGAACAGATTTGTTTTCCCTCCCATTGGGCTCCAGTAAAGGAGAGCCTTACATCTAATGAAATGCTTGTTGTGGAAATGGTTTTAGAAAATATTCCTGGAAATGGATGTTTTTTCCAGATTGTACATGTGGGGTTTCCAGGATTCAGATCGTATGTCCCCCACAAAATGTAAATCAGGACCATTGACTCAGAAAGTAATACCACGTAATACGCTTCTCAGAACTTGAGCCTCCGCAGACAGACACACAGACAGAGGCTGGCAGACCCCAGAGATCACTGAATGCAAAGGGGTTAACGGTTGCCCCTGAGTGTGGGGGAAAGGAGGGAAATAAGAGGAAACGGAGTAAGCTGCTCCTTCGCTGTCAGCGGGAGAGCGTTCCGGTGGCGGAGGGGAGATGCCTCCAGCCGTGATGATGCTTTCGGGCAGGTTACCAGCCCTGCAGCCTCCCTCTGCCTGACGGTAGCACAAAGAATGACCGCTAGTTACCCCGCTGCTGCTGCTGCTGCTGCAGCGCTTCTCGCCCGGAGCCACAGACAAAGCGGTGCCGCCTCCCCACGCAGCTGAGCTGAGCTGAGCTGAGCTGAGCTCCGCTCCCTTTCCGGAACCTCCCTCTCTCCCTGTGCGGCTCCGTGACACGGATCCTGCCCCCTCGCCATGTCTCGGTGCCATTCAGCCCCTGTGATCCACGCTGCCTCTCGAGCAGCCTCCCCTGGAGCGCGCCGTCCCAGCCATACTCACCGCTCCGGGCCCGAGCCAGCCCTGCCGCCCGCAGGGCTTTAGTCCTGGCTCTCGCCGAAACTTGCAGCTTTCCTCCAAGCCCCTGGCTTTGTTGCCGTCCTGCCTATCATCCTCAGCCCAGGCTCCGCTCAACCTCCCCCTGCTAGCCAGCCGGTTCCCTCCCCTTGGCCCGGAGGGGTGCTGGACTGGGGCTTATTTTTGGGAGGAGGCTGCGGCCGATCGCTGCCCTTTTGTCCCCAGAACAGCTCGTTTTCTGCATGATCCTGTATCCATTCAGGGCAATTTCAGATCTGCACGCTCTCTCATGTGCCAAGGATACCGGCTAATTCTGGTTTGGGGGAAGAGATTTGCAGTCCTCTCACATGCACACTCTTGTGGTCGGATGAAGTTTATCGCTGCACAGGTTATTACTGGAACTTTACATCTAGCTCTGAGTTACAAGAGGTAATCCAATAAAAGCGGCTAGTAATCAAGTTTTTAATGGCAATTCAGTTTCACTAGGCTGTGTAACCTTCCCTGTGGCTGCGGTAGAGCACACATTTTCCAGCCACCCCAGGAGTAAGGCTTGCAGGATTGGCAAAATGCAGTGTGCTGAAAAATATTCCTTCATCGGGAGAATGAGTTAAATGTACCCCTGAGTTTTCAAAGCACCACACAGAGTCTCACCTGTCCAGCTGTCCAAATGTGGCATTTAATGAGGCATTCTTGAGAGTGAATTTACCAAGGAGGATACTGTCATGTTATTCTGTTCTATAGGTTCTGATAACATGCTCCTCACGGTAGTAGTTGAGTATTTTCCAGCAGTGCATTAAACAAGGGGACTAACATCTGTCACCTGTTTGTTCTCTCATCCTCTGGATCAGGGGAGAAGGGCGTGCAGTAGAGTGTTTTGGTTTGGAATCATTTTATTTTCATATATATTGCTAGATGTTTCTGTTAGGTAAGGCAAGGTCAAAGAAATGTGCATGGCACTTACAACAGAAGATGATGAGGTTTGCAATGGTCCTTAGTTCATTTGGGATTTCCTTCTACAGTCTTGGGCTGGCCCCTGATCTTCTGGCCAGACAAGCTTTACCCTTATTGTAGAAAGTTCCGTTGTGCTAGAGGAGTGAAGTTGTCAGCCAGGGTCTTTATCCTGGAGCCTTATGCGGTCTTTTTGATATGTTGGGCCTAGGCCCTGGAATGCCTTGAAGATAAGGACTGAGATCTTGAACTTGATTCAGTAGTCTATGGGAAGCCAGCACAGAGAGAAGACGACAGGTCTGAAGTTTGTGGTAGCCAGCGTTACTAGGATGTGCTTCAGCATTCTGTACCAGTTGGAGTTTCCTAAGAGCAGAAGTTTTCATGCCCGGGTCTATTGTATGGCTGTAATCCAGCCGAGAGGTGATGAAGGCATGAATAACTGAGGCCAGGTCAACGTTCGTCAGGATGGCCATGGTCTTGCAATGTTAATTGGCCAAGTAAGGCATTGAAATGTTGCAGTATAAGATAAAAAAAATGATGTGAGCTGTTTATTTTAATTGTATTTGTTTTCCTCGGGTTCAAATTAATATTTATTATCTAAAAAAATTTTAAGTGGATGTAGTGCTTGTGAAACCTACCCGATTGGCAATCTAGGAAAGGGAAGTCTTCCCTTTATCTACAAAATAGGTTCAGCAAGAGCAGCCAGCAGGGAAAGCTTACCCACACCTCTTCAACAATGTTCGCACAAGAGAGGCCTGTGGAGAGCAATGTCACCTTTATATCCAAGTGGGCCTTGACCCCTCTGCTGACTGTCAGTTGTTCTGTGAGTTATAGAGTTATAATAGAGTTATCTAGAGTTATAATAGTTCATGATAACACAAATTTTATTGGGGATATTAAATTTTCTGCTTCAGAATATAACCCAGTCTCTAATGATTAGAGATCAGAATGAAACCTAATATTGGGGCAGATTATGGCTGAGCAATATATATAGATATAGATATGCTGAGTGGTATGGCTTCCTCTAGAAGTTGCAGGGTTCTTACACAGGGTTCTGATACTGTCACTGTTGTAGATAGGATACTGAACTAGATGAACCTTAGGTCTAATCCAGTGTGACAATTCCTGTGGGGTTTTTTTTTAATTGGTTTTTAGCTAAATATAAAACCCAGAGGGGAGGGGAGGCAGCTCATTGTGGTGAAAAGAAGATACAAATAAAGAGGAAAGAAAAATGGAACAGGAGAGGAGTAATCCAGAGAATTCAGCAGAAGGAAACATGTACAGCAGATGAGTAATCTTTATATTCCTCCAGAGACAGAAGATGTTGGTAGTGTACAGCTGTGGCTCACTGAGTAAATGTCAAAGAACAGAGATAATAGGTCAGATTCTGAGTTGCAGTCTGGCCCCTTTTAGCTGCCGTGGCAATGCAAATAGGTCAGAAAACAGTCCTATTTCCCATGTTGGGAATTTCCCCAGAGTGAGGGAGACCCCAGTTGCATAGAGCTGAAAGAACCCAGTTGCCCTCAGTGTCTCCTGGAAGTGGGAGGGGGTATGGCCGGAGTGCTTCTGCTATTATTGTGATCCCCAACTGGCAGGTGGCTAGGTAAGTACAATTGGCCTTGAAATCAGGGAGCTGCAGCTGCCACCTTTGTGGTCCTGCTCTCAGCTCCACACAACTGGGGAAAGCTGGGAAACTTGCTCAAGTCATTGGGTCTTTTGTGTGCCATTCTTTCTGATGCCTCCATATCTGCAATGCATATAAAATTAACACGCATAGTCTTTTGCTGGCTGATCAGATGCAGGTTCTAGAGGAGGAAGATGTGACAAAACATCAGCCACAGTACTTTCTCCTCTAATGTGTTCAATGGTAAAATCATATCGTGGAATTTTCCATCCTTGGCAGTGGATTCTATGTAGAATCAGAATAGATTTGTTAGGTTTTAGCATGTGAATTATACGGTTATGATCAGTCATTAGAATGTGGCTTTAGGAAGGGAAGGAGTAGTGTTGACACACTACTTGACACACATTTGCAATGAGACAGAAGTTTGAAAGAATGATAAATGGAAGGTGTAACTGCTATGTAGCATCTATTGATCTTGAGAAAGCATATGGCTTGGTTCCACCGAGCTGGTGTTTGGAGTATTGGAATGGATGGGAGGGGGACTTCAAGAAGTAGAGATGATAGAGGAGCTATAGCAAGGGTCAACAGGTAAAGTGGTAACAATACATAGAATTTCCGAGTTTTGAGATGATTGTGGGATTGAGACAAGGCAGTGTACTAAATCCACTTCTCTTCTTCCTACTTATGAAGTTAATTAGTAGGAGAACCAAGCCTGAGGAGACAAAGAGAAAACGAATGTATGCTGACAATTTGGCCCTTTTGGATGACAGTAAGGAGGAAGTGGTGAATATGGTATCAGAGTGGGCATCTGTGTTTGAAGGCCAAGTTTTGAAGGTAAACACAAAGAAAACTGAAGTTATGCAAGTAGGAAAGGTGGAAGAAAAGCTGTTGATTGATGTTTCAGGAGAGAAGCAGAATCAGAAGAAAGAATTTGTACTTGGGAAGTACACTTAGTGCCATCTGAGAGAGATCTGGATAATTGAAGAGGAGAAGCCAATGTGCATGGATGGCAATGAAAAAAGTGGCAGGAGTACTGTGGGACTGGCAAGTAAGTAACAAACTGAAAGGAAAAGTGCATGCTACGTGTGTTTGTCCCTGCCTGCTCTATGGTTTAGAAACAGTGGCTCTCATGGAGATGAAAGAAAAGGAGATACAGGTTGTAGAAAATAATATATTGAGGAGAATGACAGGCAAGAGGAGGGTGGACAGTGTGCATGGAAAAAGTTGGGGGAAGATGAACTTGGGATTCTCACTGATAGATAGTCCAGAGAGTGCACATTTGAGGTGGGCTGGACATGTGGAAAATACATGAAGAACAACCAGCATGGGAAGAACTGGGCAGCAAGAAAGGACATGGGGGATAGAGGATACAATGGAAAGACACTGTCAAGAGAAGTTTGAAGAGGAAGGGACTGGAACTCCAAGACCTGTGCACCCGTGCTATGGATTAAAAGGAGTGGCAAATAACCATGGGCACCTGTGACCCCATGTAAATGGGAAAAGGAGTTGAGAACTAAATTGAATCAGTCATTAGAATAAATGTATGTCCCTAGAGGTACATGTGAAAATATTCTATAGCCCACACAGAGCCAAAGGCTGTTTTGTGCTTATTGGCAAGCAACTGCATATATCAATGATTTTTTGATCCATTATTATGTATTTAGAGCAGAACTGCACATAAATCTACAAGGCTATCATCAGCTACTACAAATGTTGGTGAATCCAGTTATGCTCCACACAGTTCTTTGGTTAAAGCACTTCTTAGCGCCCAAGAAGCTGATTCTTTTTTAGAATTGCACTCTTACTCAATATCTTTCCTGATTTCAGAACAGCTCTGCTGACTAATGTTTATATACTTTGGAATAAACTTCATAAGGAAGCCACAAATTCCCAGAATTTAAGGCATTAATTACATATTCTCCAGCCTTGGAGCCTTAAGAACAGTTTCCAATTTCTTTTGATCAGTCTAAACACCATCTGAGGAGAAATAGGAGTCCGAATATATTTATTTCTGTCCAATTTTAATCCTCTTATGAAATCAATCAAAAATTTTCTCCTTCTCCTTCTAGCTCCTCTGCATTAGCAGCAAAACAAACAACATCTGTATTCCAAACAGTACCAGGCCATCTGCAAAGTACTGGATACATAGCTTTTTGGTAAACCTGAGGCGCATAAGAAAGACCAAAAAGAAATTTGGAAGATCTGTACTAACTACAGGGAGTTTCAAAGTCATCATATTCCTGGATTCAGTTAAAGATGTTTATTAAATTTAGCCTTAAGCTCAGCAAAATCTTTTGAGCCTTATATAATGTGGAGTATCTTATAATTTATAGTTACAGGGTGATGTTCTCTAACACAGTGGTTCTCAACCAGGGGCCTGGGGCCCCCTAGGGGGCCTCGAGCAGGTTTTAGGGGGGCTTCCAAGCAGCGTCAGCATTAGATTTGTTGGGGCCCAGGGCAGAAAGCCAAAGCCGGCTGAAGCCCAGGTCCCTGAGCCCCACCACCCGGGGCTGCACTGAAGCCTGAGCAATGTAGCTTCGTGGAGGACCAGGCAATTGTTCTGCTTGCAACCCCCTACCGCCAGCCCTGGCTTTTATATGCAGAAAACAAGTTATTGTGGCACAGGTGGGCTGTGGAGTTTTTATAGCATGTTGGGGGTGTCACATTCCCCTCTGGTGTTATCTGGACCAGTGATCTGCTAAGTCACTCCAAACATTGACTCTGGGAGCCAGCC